ATTCAAAGACTTGGGAAGCTTTAATGTGTACTCAAGATTGGTTATGGTCTGACATTCATGGTACGATAAATATAACTATCCATTTTTTTTATAATTGTTATTTATGTTATTTCTTTATTACTAACTAGTTTTATTTTTTGATAGAACATTCATCACCTACATCATATTCTAGATGCTGTACAAAATTAAGTGACATGAATATTGAAGAGGAGGTAAATTGATTTTCCTTTAAATGGACTTGAGTAATAAATAGTTAGACATATCATTTGTCTAACGAATACACTTCTTCAGTCATCAATTTTTAAGGAGCCAGATATAGACATTCCAGAAGAAGATGTTAACTCTTGAAGATCTACAACATGAAGTGTTGCATTATGCTATGTTTCTCTTCAAGCTACGTCGTAATTTATCCAATAATTTGCACAATTAGAATATATTGGACATATTTTTAGTTGAGTGAATGTATTGTTTGTGGATTTAAGTTATGGTGAAAGACAATTATTTTGGCATCGGTGATTTGATTTTCATTTCAAGATTGAGAAGATATTTGATGTTGAACGATTCAAAATATTGCTTGATGAATTCCTTCAATTTTACTACAGCTCTTCCTTTGTTGTTGTGTAACAAGGATTATGTTAGAAAATCAAATTCCCAAAGCTTTTGAGCAGAGTAAGGAGAATTGGCATAATGTTTATCAAAATATTATATTATTACAAAGGGCACTAAATTTAAAATATATTAAAAAATAAATTAAAATGGGGCAATAAATGGGTAGAGGCCCCCCGCCCCGCCTTGCCCCTCTCCTCGCCTCTCGTCCCCTCCCTGCTCCCACCCCGTCCCCGGGTATGGGGAGGGAAACTATCTAGTGGGACTAGGGTGGAGGAAGGCGCCCCGACCCATACCCATCCCGTTGCTATCCCTACAAATAGCAAGTTTACAAGGCCCAATTTGAAAAATTTTGTAAAGTCCAAATAGCAAATATCCTCATCAATCAGATTCATTAATATTTATTTAGTTGAATTATATCAATTTCATTCGCAATCACTACTCGCCACACTTTAAGATTACCCGTCCTACAAACCCCTCTTCAGGTGATGCCACAACAAAAATTGAAAGCTAATAAGATAGACATTTAATGCTACAATTGTGCCACACGTACACGCACCCCTTCCGCCCAACAAGGGTTGGACATGGGCTCCTCCCTCATGGGCAAATACCAGTGTACAAATAGCAAAATTCTTGATACTATTCAATTGCATTGCATATTTAAAGTGAATTAGAAGTGTGAAATATATATTAGTTGTCAATTTCATTTCTTATATATATATATATATATTGTTAGATATTGAGAAGATAATTTATATTATAAATTCAAGATTTTATTTAGAAACATATTATGAGTAAAATGAATCTCCAACCCGAACCAATAGTTTGAATTCGAGTAATTATGTGACTCGAATTATTTTAATTGAAAAATTACCAATAATAAGTAGTTCTAAATGTTGGAATACCAAAAAGATCCATCGATGCCCAAGCCATGGGAGTTTCCATTAATTTAACAAAATTACATTAATTAGACAATTGATAAGCAGAGATTGGCATTCATATTACACTACTACCTTAATTTCCACAAACAAGAAGCAAATACATATATGACCCCGTATGGCTAGTTTATTGCACAACACGATAGCTTAATAATGATCCGTTCCTTGTAAACACAGCCACAAACTATTTCTAGAAAACCATTATCTTCTTCTCTGCTTCAAGTCTTACCACCGCTCATTTGCAGTTACATGGATCGCAAGTGCAATTGGTTCCGCACTTGCAGCCGTTCTCAGCAGCTGTCACCCCAAATTCAGACTCGGAACCCTCAAAGTATCTGCATCAAATAAATAAATAAATAGCCAATTAATTATTTTACAATTTCTCAAAAGTTAATTATTTCACATTAAAACTTGAAAAGACGATACATACTTGTTGTGGGGAGCAACTCCAAGAACAAGGGTTTCAGTGGTTGTAGCCTCAGAGTAGCCCAAGTCAGGGTACTTACCACATCTGCAGTTATTACATATAAAATTGATCATGGCATGAACATGCGTCAATTAATCTTGAACCCATGTTTCTAGGTCCGTATACTCGATGGGCTGGTTCATCGAAGGATTCTACTACTTATATATAAAAATGGTACATAAAAAATTACTGACAAATGATGTAATGACACGTGGCGTCATGCAAAGTTTGACGTACACGTAGCAATATCCTTAATGAAGCGAAGAAACGACCTACCCACCGCAGCCACTGCCGCATTTGCAGCCAGAGCCACACCCACAGTTTCCATTGCAGCAAGACATTTTCTTCCCCTCAACTGTGAATTTCAAAGTTTCTTTTTAACAGAGCATGCTAAGACTCTGCGAGATAATTTCTGAAGCGAACCAGAGGCACATTTATAGAGCTGTGGAGATGATTGGTGAATATTGATCGTACACGTGGCTTGATCGTATAACGCCTCGTAAGTCGGTCCATGACAAATGTTGCTCCTTTATTTCCACACATCTATCGTTTCCAGCGGCTTAAAGTCCAAATTAGGCCCGTTACCGTGTTAAATACCTCATCCATCCCTAAACTTCCACCCATGTTTCAATTATATCCCTAAACTTTAAATTGTTTCTAATATGCCATGAAACTTCTGAATTAAATTCCCATTTATTTGACTGAACATCCCACTAGAGCGTAGGGGTATTTAACCCATATATTATAGCAAATGCAACCCTCTCTTTAAATGCCCTCTAGCATTTAGAGATTTTAGAATGATAAGCAGAACGTAGATAGATGAAGTATCTAATCCATATTTTATAACAATTATGTAAATGTTCTTTACTTTCCAGAATGTTATAATATAAATTATTTTACACGTGACAAGCAAAATAGGAATGAAGATAAGAGCATTTCTTATTGTACGTGGATTGCACTAATTGTAGACTACATGTACAAGAGATATGATGTAGGAAAAAACTGAAGATAAATTATAAACAAATTAAATGGACACAACGTCCTATGAAAACAAATTATTAAAAATTAAGTGGATAATGTCTAGCGTATCTCCTACGGGTCGATGTTGTGCCAGACATCTTTTATAATTTTTGGGAAAATTGCAAAAGTGGTTCCTAACTTTTTTCTTTTTTGTAGATTTATCCCAACCTTCATTTTGTGCAAGCGAAAGTCCCTAACCTTTCATAAATACTCACTTAAGGTTCATCTGGACGAAAACCGTCCAAAACACCATCATTTGACTGAAAAATTTTTGAACTATCTGCTATCACTACGATTTTATTGGATGTTGATATTTTTTTGGACAGTATTTTGGAAGATTTTATTGAATTTTGATTCCTTAATTTTCCTTGTCAACTGACGGTGTTTCGAACGATTTCCGTCCAGATGGACCTCAGTACACATTTATGAAAGGTTAGTAACATCCGTAGACACAAAATACAGGTCAGAATAAAGTTTGCAAAAAATGAAAAGATTGAGGACTGCTACTGCAAATTTCCCTAATCTTTTCTTGTCATGTAAATACTTTGGGGGTGTTTTGGTAACCTTTATGGGTGTAATCAACATTCCAATTAAAGATGCTCCAAGCCTACAATTTGCACATTGTGTAGGTAAACAGTATCATCAAAATATATTTTTGGTTAAATCACTTTTTCGTACGCACATTTCATAAGAGTCACAAGTAATACCCGCTTCTCCACCATTCATTTACCCCTCTTTATAAACACTTGGTTAGACGTAAACTAAGATGCACTTTATTTGTTTCATCCTCTTTATTTTAGGTAATTGATCCTTATTTCAAAGAGTCCAACAAATTGCAAGTGTCAATTGACATGATTAGACATCTTAAATGGATCTTTATCATTACATTTGAGATGTCCAAATGTCTGATCCCTTAATGCCATGTAACTGACAGTGCTAAATGCTAACCATTAACGATTTAGATGAACAATGTTTTATAACTGTTTATTGGAAATATCAAAATAAAGAACACATGTGAAGAGTTTGTCGGATAACAAGTTTTCCTCTCTAATTTTAAAAATTCATCAAGATGTCATTCTTTAAAATAAACAATATTATTGTTGGAGATGCTCTTAAGATATAGACATAAATGGCATTTTCAATTTAGAAAAAATTTCATTAATGGTCCTCAATTTATTTTCTAACTAGCAGGTTGGTCCAAATCTATAACCTTTGAACACGAAATAAACTAGTCTTCAAAGATTACATTATAAATTGCAATGCCAGTAACCAGTGACATAGATGGCTCATATCTCCAACCTTTCACTGCAACTGATTCTCAAGGGAACTTGGGAAAAAGATTTTACCATTTGTTAGAGTTAGTCTAGCACAGCTAGACTTTCTAGATAAAATGGCTTATGACACAATAAGTTTCAAATTCTATAAGGCGATTCAAATCACGAAAATTTAACCTATGTTTACATTTCTAATGGATTTGGTACTAATATTCAATCGATCTTACTAACTATAATATGGAACTCCAAGTCTAATAAGAACCACATCAATAATCAATGTTAGATATTAACATATTGATTTGGGTTATAAACCCTTGATTCTTAAATTCATGATACCGTATATATTAAAACAATCTTGAGTTATAGATGACATTACGATATCAATCATCCAAGATTAATCTAGGGAAGTGTAATATAAATTTCAAAGAATTGATTCACGACATTATTGTTAGTATTTTTACAAGAATCTTGGGTAGAATTATAAAATTGTATTTGCATAATTTCATAATTCTTGAAATTTCCATATTCTTTAAAGTCCTGACTTAAAAAAAATATATATTGGACTTTAAAATAATATCGGTATTGGTTATAACTTCTAAGTCACTATTCTGAATTAAAATGTAATAAATATTAATTTCTTTTTTTCATTGGATGAGCATTTGCAGCCTCAAATAATTGTATAAAAGGTCACCGCACCATTGACAAGTGACCGATAGGGACACGGTAGTATGTCACTATTAGGTCCAATTGATTGATCTCTTTATCTTGATATATTTATAAATAAAAAGTATAATATTGCGAGGTAAAAAGTATAGTTTTTTTGGGTCATTTTTCAAGGAAGGTCCAAATGAAAGAGACTTCTTACCTACCATTGTCACCCAAATAATTGAAGGATAGTTCTACTTGTACACTTTTGGTATGCATATATTACACCTCTTCACATGAGGACCCGCATACAATAAATTATAGGGTTATGTTATACGTATATCAGAGTTTTTATAACGGTATCCACTCTCCTTACATGGAGGGAGACCCAATTTAGATAAATTATATTTTCTTTGAAATAGGCACTATTATGAAAATCATATTATGTACAAGTAGCATATTCCTAAATCATATGCAGGCCACCTTCATGTGAGAGGAGTGTAGTGTATTATGTACACAAAAAATTGTACATTTAACATCACCCTTGATGTATTTTCAAATAACATTATCTACTTCATTTGAAAGTCTAAGCTATTATTATATAAGATTCACGTGTATTCATTTAAATTTGTGTTTAACACGTACGTATATAGGTAAAATGTAAATTCCTCTTTTTAATAAAAAAATACATCACATACACATTTTTTAATAAATGAACGGTGACAAAACTTGAATCCAATTATTTTATCTAACTCTAATACCATGTTTATCATCTAATTTAAAAATTTAAATCGACTAGCCATATTGGTTTAATTCTTGTCTTGGACAAATATCTATCTTCAAATATTGGCTTGTGTATTACACTTGGCCCATTTTGATTTAGCTAAGAAAAATTAATAAATCAATAATTAATTTTAATCACAAATATCATAGATCTGCATTTTTATTATATTCTATCCAAAAAAAAAAAAAAAAAAAAAATTCAAAT